GTCCTCAAGCCCACTCCACACCCAGCCAGGATCAGATGATTCGGGCCAGACATCACTCGCCCTGGCGCACACATGTGCGAGCGCACCGGAGGAACATCGCCAGGGCACGGGCGCAACTCGGGTTTGATGATTCTCTGGAGATAGAAGACGAACAAATGAGCAAAACAGAAGAAGCATCTGAAGAGGGAAGACGTGAGGATGAAGAGCAAGAGAGGGTGGAGACCATAAGCTCAGATGTCTCTCAGCAAGACCACATTTCTGGAGAAGCAGATGATCTCCAGGAGATCGACAAGCAGTTGTCTTCTCTGGAACTGGAACCAGAACTTTCACCAGAAGCAGCTTCTGATCCAACTCCACCAACTCCTCAACCAGAAGCAACTTCTGATCCACCTACATCAACTCCACCACCAGAATCAGATTCTAATCCAAATACACCAACTCCACCACCAGAATCAGATTCTAATCCAAATACACCAACTCCACCACCAGAATCAGATTCTAATCCAAATACACCAACTCCACCACCAGAATCAGATTCTAATCCAAATACACCAACTCCACCACCAGAATCAGATTCTAATCCAAATACACCAACTCCACCACCAGAATCAGATTCTAATCCAAATACACCAACTCCACCACCAGAATCAGATTCTAATCCAAATACACCAACTCCGCCACCAGAACCGCAGCCCGAGCCCAAACCCACGGCCTCAGCTCCGCTCCCATCCACCCGCCGTCCAGGTTCAGACTCCTCCAGCTCAGAAAGCGGAGGCTCCCTCAAAAGAAACCCTTCAACGTTAGCAGGAGAACCTTCAAAACCACAGCAGATCTTCTCCCCGTTCCCTTGCATCAAAACCCCTCGCAAGTCCATCACTGCGAGAAACTTGGGCCTCTACGGGCCAAACGCCAGGACTCCAAATGTGCACTTTCCCCAGATGAGCAGAAGCATGAACCATGTTGGAAGCACCACAAAGCGCCGATGATGAATTGTCGACTACAGACAAGCACTTATTTGATTCTTGATATCAATACATTTGGGTTCAAATCTCCAACCACGAAAGCACGTCTCTAGTATGCTTCCAGATACTCCAAAACATCTACATTTAGAAACCATATTGGATAATGTAATGCTTCCATTATAATATGAATTTATGAAGGCTGTTTACTTCTTTGATGAAACCCTACCTAAACATCTGGGAATAATACCTGATAGACACGATCGGTTGAAGCTTTTGTGTCAATGAAAGTATCTCTTTTTGCATGTTCAGATTAGCAGTATTTGCTACGATGCACTGTGTATGTTTACTTACATGCTTCAAAGCTAGGAAAATCACAATCACATATATGTAAAATACTCATGCTAAATGACTGGGAAATGCTGCAGTTCTGCATCACACAGTCCAAAAGGATTTTTTTAGCACCCAGATACACTATTTAGTCCTATAAATCAACAAATTTGCTTGTTTCTGTTGTTTGGACTACATTGGTGTTCATTTTTCAATCATGTCATGCCATTTACTCTTGATCTTTCCTTAGTAAATTATTCAATTGCCATCTGAATGACAGAAGTTGTCATTAAGTTCTTCTCTTTATGGATGCTCTTATTCTAAGCGCTCCATCCCTTTGAATGTTTCTCTTCTCTCTATTAATCTTTGGTGCTTATGAGCAGTGGAGGATCACAAATGCCCCACAGAAAATAAAAGATGTGCAAGTATGGAAAAAAAAAACTTAAGTTTCTACTTATTTCTGTTGTTTCCACTCCGATTAGTCATTTGTGTTTGCAACCACAGTATTAGTTTTTCAAGCATAAAATGACACCTATCAAAACATGTTATCCAACTACATAGAATAGATGAACCAAATGGAAATGTATGCATGTTGAATGAACGTGGCATATTCTTTTGTTTAGAACCAAAATAACCTCCAATATCTCACACTGTCATGATTATATGAGTGTCTTCAGAGCCTAATAGAGATAGTGCTCGGGTTAAATTATAACGTAATATCAACAGTCATTTAATCTGCCATCTTTACAAGTGCCTCATGAATAATTGAATAAATTCATTCAGCCTGAAGAGGTTTTATATTGAGCTCTTTAAAATCCTTCCTGAAACTACACCAACACCAGACAAGTTAAGAGCTTATCATCTGTTAAAAGTCCTGTTATTCCACTCACATCCACCACCATGTAACTCATCGATTTAGATTTTGAGAGAGTACAACAGGCATAATATTCGCTTTGTATAATGTTTTTTTTTTTTTGGACACGTTACTAGACCCTTCCATACTTCTTATAGGTAAAGAATTGTTACCATCATATGATGTCTAAAATATCAAATCAAGGCTTCTGCTTGCTTTAGTCGTTCTGAAACTCACTGCAATAAAAGGCGTTGAAGTTAATGGCGCTCTCCTGTGTATCCAGTGTTGCTTCAGGGTATTGTGAGACTTCAGAATGTACAGCGAGTTCATTATTGTATGCGGTTCATTATTAATGACAGCTGTGTGGTAGGCCTCAGATGAGAAGAAACACATTTAAAACAATTTGGGGATTTTAAAGGTTAATTTTATGAACTGACGAAAATGGAGGTAAATTATTTTTTTTACCCTTAAATTCCTTATTCTTTGTTTTATCGCTTTTGAAATGACTGAACACTAGATGTCGCTGTTGTTCTAGCCTAGTTTTACCTCTCAAATGGCCTCATACAGTTTAGGAGCAGATTGTGGGAAGAAATGTCCTAGTAATAATATAAATATAACAAATAACTTTAAAATAATATTTAAATAAATATTAGGCCTTTCAGTGAGTTTTTCCATGAAGCTCGTATGTGAAAAGATGACAGATGTGTAACTTTGAAGATGCAGTGTTTCAAAAAGAAAGACACATATAAATGAACAGGCCTTAAAATTCCTTCAGCTTCGGTTTATTGTATTTCATCTCCCTAAAAGACCCAAATAAACCCCAGTGTCATTTGTGCAGGATTTATGCATCACTGTGTCCTTGTGAGAAAATGTTGGATGCAGATTTCCCAAGGGATTCTGGAATGGTCTGAATTTAGTGTACTGATCGAATGGGCAGATGTGCCTGTTGAGACTGGCAAGGTGCCAAGTTCTGCTTGTATTTACCTCACGTATGATTTCCTCAGGGGCCAATTTGTCTCATAAGGCAAAGGACAAGCTTGAAATTCACCTATGAATAATGCAATTGACCAAGTTTGTTTTTCTGGTCGTCATGGTGTTGCTTTAAAGCTTGCAGGGGTCAGAAATCGAATTGATTCAAATGAGTTTTCAAATTTCTTAGTATTTCCCGTGAAGCAAACATCTGACCATCAGTCATATGATCAATGCCATACATTTATTTAAGATTATAGCGAACTATTAGAAATACAGCAGAATCTTCCATTTCTTTTTTTTATTTGTTTTCAAAAATTTTAAAAATTCTAAAAAGTTTATATCTATGTAATTTTATTTAATACCAGATTTTTTATCCACAACTGAAAAATGATTGCCATCTAATGAGAACAATAAAAAAATAATAATTAAAAAAATAAAAATTAATTGTTTGTAATGATTTTAGCAATATGATCCACTGCTAAAAAATTATCATCATCTAATAAAAACAATCAAGAATAATAAAAAATAATATAAAGTAAAAATCATTTGTTTGTGATGATTCTAGCTACGTGATACACAGCTGACAAATTATCATCTTTAATCAAAACAATCCAAAATAATAATAATTAAAAATAATAATTAAAAAAAAAGTTGTTTGTGATGATTCTAGCCATATTATCCACAGCAGAAAAATTATTGCAATCAAATAAAAACAATAAAAAATAATAAAATAAAAATATATTGTTTGTGATGATTCTAACAACATGATCCACAGCTGAAAAATGATTGCAATATACAGGTGCATCTCAATAAATTAGAATGTCGTGGAATTCAGATGAGAGCAAGTTTTGTATTTCATTTGGAAACCAAGGTCCTAGAGTCTGGAGGAAGGGTGGAGAAGCTCATAGCCCAAGTTGCTTGAAGTCCAGTGTTAAGTTTCCACAGTCTGTGATGATTTGGGGTGCAATGTCATCTGCTGGTGTTGGTCCATTGTGTTTTTTGAAAACCAACGTCACTGCACCCGTTTACCAAGACATTTTGGAGCACTTCATGCTTCCTTCTGCTGACCAGCTTTTTGAAGATGCTGATTTCATTTTCCAGCAGGATTTGGCACCTGCCCACACTGTCAAAAGCACCAAAAGTTGGTTAAATGACCATGTTGTTGGTGTGCTTGACTGGCCAGCAAACTCACCAGACCTGAACCCCATAGAGAATCTATGGGGTATTGTCAAGAGGAAAATGAGAAACAAGAGACCAAAAAATGTAGATGAGCTGAAGGCCACTGTCAAAGAAACCTGTGCTTCCATACCACCTCAGCAGTGCCACAAACTGATCCCCTCCATGCCACGCCGAATTGAGGCTGTAATTAAAGCAAAAGGAGCCCCTACCATGTATTGAGTACATGTACAGTAAATGAACATATTTTCCAGAAGGCCAACAATTCACTAAAAATGTTTTTTTTTTTATATGATATGGCTACCATATTCTAATTTGTTGAGATAGTGAATTGGTGGGTTTTTGTTAAATGTGAGCCAAAATCATCACAATTAAAAGAACCAAAGACTTAAACTACTTCAGTCTGTGTGCATTGAATTTATTTAATAAAGTAATAGAGTTTCACAATTTCAGTTGAATTACTGAAATAAATGAACTTTTCCACGACATTCTAATTTATTGAGATGCACCTGTAAGAACAATTAAAAAATAAATAAATAAATAAATAAATCGTTTGTGATGATTCTAACATGATCCACAGCTGCAATATAAATATTTTATAATATTATAATATTAATATATATTATCGCAATATAATAAAAACAATAAATAATAATTAAAATAAGAAATAAAATAATTTCAAATTAAAAAACATGATATTGAATGCCAATGTCTGCAAATTAAAAAAAACATACATATATAGAAATAGATTTTTTAAAAAGATCTGCATTACATGGATGTGCCATGATGATGCAATGTGACTTCTGTTTTCCCACCTATTTGAAATTCCTGTGGAAAACCCCATTCCTGTCCTACCCAGTGACCCAGTAATGACTTTATTGAGAAGCGGAGATACTTCCGTTTCGTTAATTAACTGGCCGAGTGATGGCCACAGTAATCCCTCAATCCGGCGTCCGTCGGTTCAGACATGGATTATTTATCCGTCCCGTCATACAGGAGCGGGGACTACATGCGTGAATCCCACACTGATGTCCTCTTCCGCTCTGCTCCTGCACGACTACACCATAATCTACATGTTATAATCCATGCACACATGATGGGGCGTATTTACACTTCTTCTGCGTTTCCGGCAGGATTACTCTATGAGGAAGCGGAGGTTTACACAGTCTGTGTGTGTGTGTGTGTGTGTGTGTGTGTGTGCTGTACGGGTGAGAGTTTCATAATAAAGATGTGCAGGAGAGTTCAAAGAGCCAACAAAATGCATTGACAAGCAAGGTTTTTTTTTCCAACTGAAACTGGAAATTTGGGAAGGATCAGATGAAATGCCATGTCACTTTTATCAAAAAGGCTTTAGACATGAACTGTTATTGATCTACTACAAATAAAAAAATATATATTTTTAGAAGTTGTAAATTAAACTAAGATTGTTGGAGTATGTTTTAGAAGAAGATACTATTTTCTTTCTACTTCAAAATTTCACATTTAATTCAGTGTGTTACTTATGGAAGTTTGTTTCAGCCATGGAATAACAAAATAAAAAATGTATTTTTCCTGTAATTGTAAAAAAAAAAAAGGTAAGTTCCTACAATTCTGAAAAAAGTCAGAATTTTGAATTTATATCTGGCAATTCCAACTTTATATCTCACAGTTATGACTTTTTTTATAATACTTTTTTTTCATATTTATAACATTTTTATATATTTTTTATATTTATAGCAAGCAATTCTGAGTTTCTATCACGCAGTTCTGAATATTCTTCTCAAAATTACGAATTTATGTCTTGCAATTCTGAATTTATATCTTGCAATTCTGAAAAAAAGTCCAAATGAGTTTATATCTTTCAATTCTGACTTTTTTCTCATAATTGATAGAAGAAAGTCTGAATTCTGAGTTTATATCTTGCAATTCTGAAAAAGTCTAAAAAGTTTATTTCACAATTCTGACTTTTTCTCAGAACTCAGAAAGATATATTTTATATTTTTATTTTTATCCCTTGCCAGAAACAAATGTCCATAGTTACTTACTATTTCTTTATAATTATTTGTGAAATTTACTATCAGTTTCTGAGTGAAAATTGTTTCAAAGTACATCCCTGAACTTGCTTTGCTAGTCAAAAGTAGGTGTTATTCAATGAGTATTTTCAGTCTATTTGGTTCAGAAAAAAAAAATATTTGAAATGCACATATTTTAATTTAACTTATTTTTGTTCACTTTTATGAGTTCAAGGACTTTTTTAGAGCTGACAGAAGACTTTTTCTGGTCTGCGTGTTGATCGGTCAGCGATGTTGGTCTGCCGTTCTCGCTTTCACTCACTCAATTTCTCATTCATTAACTTTCTCTGTATATAGCAGCAGTTACGTGTCATTCAGCGACACAAACACAATCATAACATGTCAATGTAAAGAGCAGACAAGTGCAGACAGGGCTG